ACATTCTGTCTTTAAAGCCAATCAAAATATTTATAGGCACTAGGCATTATTCCTATAAATCTATAAGTTTTGACTCTAATTCTCTTACTATTATGCAATTTGTATTTAGGTCATGCATATTCTTCTATTTCAAATTTATTTGATATGTGATGGTAACAATGGCGTCTTACTGATTTTAATACACCTCACACTACTTAATATATTTCATTCCTCAGAGCCTTCAATAAATAAACACTAAATTGTACTTGGTCACTTGAATATACTGCCTAATTTGGTTTGGATATTACCAGTTAATGAAATCTGATCAGAATTGCAGTCACGTTTTAGAGCTTTACAATAGCAGGGAGATAATGCAGTGTGGTGACTTTAAGACTCTACTGCCACATACTTGAACTACAGTGTGCAGGGCAGAAAAAGAATGCAAACAGGAATCAGTAAACACAGCAGCTTGGGCTTAAGTCTTGGATCCACACTTTCTTAGTCATGCTATGAAGGGACGTTGTCTAACACTTCTAATACTCAGTTCTTGCATTTTAAAGATGGAATAGCAATAGTGCCTCCATCTGAGAGATTTTATGAATGTCAAATCAAATAATACACGTGAAACAGCTTAGTATAACACCCTATAGAGGCCTCCTTAAGACAACTGACAATAACATGGTATGATTATTATAATCATACAGTGTGTTGGACAATATGAATTTACTTACAAAGATATATTGTCTCCTAAAAATCTGACAAGTGATATTTGCTTTTTTTTTTTTTTTAAAAAAAGCAGGAGTTTAATAAACTTCCATATATTAGGAAAGGAATTGACTCAAGATGCACACCTTCTTTTTAAGAACGTGTGAATTCCGTGGGGGTGAGGTGTAAAAGCTGGTGTTTGGGAAATAAATTAAAAATAGGTCTTTAAGAAATGAAAACCTGTGTCTTTGGGCATTGCTGAAGTGGCAGAAAACACATCTGTAGTTTTTAGAATTGATGGCTAGATTGAAAGTTGAGGTCCTTAGGTCCAGGCTGGGTTTAGTTTCCCTGAATACCAACCACAATTTCAACCACTGGCTTCTCTGTTCAGGTGCTTGGGGTTTCATTAACCAAAAATATTAGAAAGGATTACTGTAGAGGAAAAAAAAAGTTAGTCAAATGCAGGATTCAGTTCAAACTTCAGAATTTTCAGATGCGGATTCTTAATACCCACTGCTGATGATTGCCTGGTGACTTTTTCTGTGATCACGTAAATGTTCATTGAGTCTTTTGGTTCTAATGTAGAACTTTTGGGATGACTAGTGTTGGCACAATAGAATAGTTGAAAAAAAAATCAGTCTATTTTTATGCTTCTTCACTTGATCTGAAAAAAAGGCAACAAAGCTGTCCCTTCACTACCTCTTTTAGAGGGAGGCAAATTGCCTTTGGTAGCCAGTAGTCAAGGCCAGAAAGTCACTTTTTCCTCTCAGTCTCTGTCCAGAAAGCTAGAATGTTGCCCTCCTAGCCCAAAGGTAACAAAGCAGAAACCCAGATTTCACATTAACACCATATTCAATCCAGCAATGCAAATGTAAAATGCAGGTGACTCTAGTGTGTGGAAGATGAAGCCCTGCTGGAAATTGCTCATAACGCTAGTATGGTGGCCAGGTTACAAGGTAGATAGATGTGCAAACTATTGTCAAGTCATTAGAATGATCTTAGGGGCCAAAATTTGGTCCTACTATAGGATCCTCTCTTTTTGAATCCTTTTTTTTTTCATTTCTTTCTTCTTCTTTTTTTTTTTTGAAGTGAAATTAGAATTCACTATGGTTACAATTTCGATTTAAGTAAGGGTGTTAGAGGTGGGGAAGGGCTTCAGCAAATGATACTCAAGGCTGGGTAAAGAGCTCAAAAAGAATGAGTCACAACTCTAGGGTCTTCCTATCTAGTTTTAAAACTTGCTTCCTGCCTTTTCCCATGCTTATCTTTCTCTTTAGGAGGGCGGGGGGATATCACTCTACTATTCCAGATATATGTCTCAAGCAAGTGAGAGGGACTGAGTTAGAACAGATGGCTGAAGACAGTTCTTCACAATCAATTTCATGAGCTTTTAGCAAGTATTATCTCAAAAAAAAGTATATAGAAAACACTATTGGTTAAATTTAAATAGGATTCTTCAAGACATTTGCAAATGTCTTTTATATGGTAATATACATTGTGACTCTGGGGTGAGCTGTGTAAAATATAATTTTTGGTACTTTCCTAACATTTTATTAACCTCCCCAAGCCCTCCTTTATAGTGTCATACTAGAGGAGAAATAGCTAGAAAGCGGTTTAAATATGACTGAGAAGCATCCAAAGTACATAAAATGCTATAAAAAGGTAAATGAAAGCCATTCACTCTGTGAGTGTGTTCTTCTTCATGGGTTTTTCAACATGGAAAACCATGGAATGCCTCCTGGCCAGAAGACAAAACACTCTTGTAATATAGGTAAATGTTTATGTAAATAGAGAATTGTATATTGAAATGGGTATGCTCTTGTGAACTTGAAGAAATCATAGGAAGACTTGTGCCATGCCTAGAATATAAAAGTTAAAGATACAGTTTCTTCCTTTCAAGATGGAGGCAGAATGGCAAGAAATGGGATCAATGGGATCAGTTCATGCTGGAGATCCCTATGTTTCTTCACCATTTCCAGTAGAACCCTTGGGTTTCTTCAAAACATGGAGACTTTATAGGATACAATTACTAAAACAGCACATTCTTATATGTATATAAGCCCCTTGCTTGCTAATTTGGTGAGAGGTCAAGTAGTCATTTATCAGATCAGTTAGTGTTGGTGGAAAGTAGGGCTATTAGATAAAAATCTTTCTTGATTTGGTGATATTTTGATGGAACTCAGTGAGTTTTGCTTTAGTCTTCTAGAGAAGAATGTAGACTTTCACGACCAGTTAGAGTATAAGGGAAGGAAAGTGGTGAGAACAAGAGGGAGGGGAGGAAGAGTAGATCCCACCAGAGGGTGTTTGACTGAGATACAGAGTCATGTACATGTCATCAGGGGAGGTATCTCAGAGGAAGACTTAAAATTAATGACAAAATATCACTTTTTCAATTATGTATATCACAGTGATTATGCGATTTCTCTTATATCCATAGATCTTCAGTAATATCCAAAAATTCTGTAGAAACTGAGCCTGGAGCAATGGGACACATGGACAGATCATGTGGGATCACTGACGTATCAAATAATGCAGCAGTAGTGAGGTCTCAAGTCTTAAGAAGAACAATACAGGAAACAACGTGAAAGGGCATGCAGTGCTGTAGGTATGAAATGGAAGTTTTGCAATTGCATTTAAATCTCAAAGTACGTGGAGATCCCAGCTAGTACATGAACAACAGAAGAAAGTTATGGTTCTGTAAGGAAGACTACTTCCACTCTGGTGACCTGTGGCTCTCACTATCTGTAAGGGCCAACAGCTCCAAATCAGTTGGCTTGTACTTTTAATGTTCAATTGCTGCATCTATTTGCATGCTTTAAATGGCTTTTAAACTCTAACTGCATCTCCTTCTCCTACCCAAGACTTTTTAGTTTCTGCTTTGGTGAATGATCCTCCATTCTGCTTGTCAATCAAAACCCTCATCCTTTCTTCTCTCATTCTTAGCACAGAGCTAACCAGTCACTCTATGATTCTATCCTTTATTGCACATCATCCTCATGCAAATTTTCTTTACTTCCTCACTTAGTGTGGACTAGCTTACTAAAACTGGTCTAAACCACTTACCTTATCTTGCAGTCTGCATCAATTATTATCTAAATGACACTTCTGATCACTTAACTGTCAGACGCCAACAGCTAGCTCTCTCCCATTGACTTGATACAGTTCTCTGCAGCTTAGGTACAAAATCTGTTTCAACTATCTCCGTGTCTTCTAAAGATTCTCCCACTGTCGTTGTCCACACGGCATGATATTCCACAGGGTCACCTACACTATTATTGCTAGAAAGATTTTTCTCCTCATTTTCTTTCCCACACAAGACTTTGACTCTAACCAAATCATCCATCCTCTGTCTCATTAGCACAATTTGAACTATTAATTAAAAGATTAAAATACATTGTATAAAAAGGATGTGGGTACTCTCTTCTTATGTTAACATTATTCAATATTTTAACTGAAATAAAAAAAAAAACATGCATGGTTCTGGATGCTGTTAGTCTCATTGGAGGAAGTTACAGAGATCTTTGGCGATGTCTTAAATTATACCTTACCGGTGATCATGAGTGTACATTGTTAGCCAGTCTTGACCAATGGTGTGTTCTCTCATGGGAGAACAATCCTTCTTAAAAAGGCAGAATATGTAATGTATAGGGTACAAGATGTGGCTTGGGAATGGGGTCTGAGCATGTGTTTCATCATTCACTGGTGAAGCCCAAGGGAAAGTGTTATATTTTCCTAGACCTATTTTTCCTAATCTGTAAGATAATATCTATTTCTTATACTTGTCATATATCAAATGGCATTCATTATACAAAAAGAGTGCAAACAGCAAAGCAAGAGCCTTCTAATGAATGGAATGCTACACAGATAAAGAAGTGTTATAACCAGGGACTAGACTTGTCGCTGGATTCAGAATATATATTGTTATACATAGATATGTAGTACAGATAATATGTTAAAGTTCTATGGATATGACCTTCTTTGGGAAAGATGTACTTGTTGAACTTACCAAGTTAAGATGAATTAATCAAGGCAGACCCTAATTCAGTACCATTTTATCCATATAAAAAAAGAGGCACACAGGGAAACACCATGTAAAGAAGAAGGTGCAGTTGGTGATGTATCTATAAACCATGGGATAAGAACTGTCAGCCATCACCAGAACCTTGGGAACTTTATATCTTAAGTCACTCAGTTATAGCACTGTGTTACCCTAGCAAACTAATACACATTGCTAAAATTTTAGCTCCATCACTTTGGTTTTTTCAGAAGTTGAGTTTAGACTACTAGACAATTCTTACTTTCTGAAGGGCACTTACCTTTCTGTGATGGTTTCTCTGAGGCCACTTGCCACACCCTTGACCACAGTGCTTGCTTTGGGTGTCAGCACCACCTGAGATATAAAAAACGAGCCCTTCTTTCTTCTCTCCGTGATGGATGCCTGAAGAAACTGGATCAATTTCTCGGGGTCTGTCGTGTTTGCCCAGGGTGCTGGCATCATCTGCCCAGGCCAGAGAAAGGGCACTTCCAATGCCACTGGACTGTGGTAGAAGACCAATACTTGATAGTCCTTCTCCCATAGGTACTTTAGACTCACTTCCTGGGCAAAAATAGCTGGGCACATTTTGTTTCCGTAGATGTCTTTCAGCATTTGGACCAGTTTTTCATGGTGATATTTCTGCATCCCATAAAAATGGTTGAAGTCCAAGAATATTACCTCTTTCTGGTGATCTGTGAGAAATGCGTTGATCTCTTCAAGACCCTCATTGACTTTGGCACTGAATAAGCCATGAGCAAAGTACAGTTCATTGTCTGGGTCTCTGGGCTTGGTGGAAATTCGCAGGTCAAAGTAGCGGATTCCAGCTCCTAGCTGACCAGTGAAGTTCATCGTTTGAGTGGCTAACCATTTCCTCATCAGCTTCTTGGCCACAGTTCCAAACACAGAAACAAAGTTCTGGACAGTTTCTGGCTGCTCAGGGCCTACTGGAGAAGCTTCATCAATGTAGAAGCTGAAGGAATCATGGGACCCTGGGAGAACAAGAAGACATAATGTGGTTAATTTCCAGCCTTTCATACAACTCACTTCTTTCTCTCCTAAAAAGCACTTGCTTTCTCCTCAAATGAGTCAAAAGAACCACAGTGAAATATTTATTTAATGACCATATCTTTGTGGGCTCCTTTGAATGGTCTGGTGTAGGTGAGAGAACATTTGAGTTGATGAAATGGGTGATAAAATAGTAAATGATATTCTTCAAGTCACTACTTCAAAATTCATATAATCATCTCCTACAAACTAAACTTGCCACACTCACAAGGATGCGCTTTCTACACCAGCAGTGTAAGTAACGATTCATGAAGTGTGATGTACTCGCAAGAACTAAATACTTTGTCTTCAGTTTTACCATCTGTGATGGTTAATCTTGTCAATGGGACAGGATTTGAGAATCACCCAGAATGTTTTCAAAGACAGTTGACTGACATGGGAGGATCAGCCCAGAATGTGGGCAGTAGCACGTTGTGGTCTGGGGCCTCTAGGCTAAATAAAAAATGAAAGAGAGAGGCGGGGGATTCGAGTATCCCGTTCATCTCTCTGCTTCCTGACTCTGGACGCTCTGTGACCAGGGGCAGAACTCATTGCTGTCCTTCACTGTCACTCAAACTGTGAGTCAAAATAAGTTCCCCATTCTTTTGTTTGTTTGTTTGTTTTCTGAGACAGGGTTTCACCTTTCCTGGAACTCACTTGGTAGCCCAGGATGGCTTCGAACTCACAGAGATCCGCCTGGCTCTGCCTCCCGAGTGCTGGGATTAAAGGCGTGCGCCACCACCGCCCGGCTAAGTTCCCCATTCTTTAAGGTGCTTTTATACAGTGTTTTGTCATTGCAGCAAGAGAAGCAATGCACCAGTTCCTTTTGTTCTAAGCCCATAGGGATTGTCTCACTGAACAGAGTCCTGTGGACAGGTGGACAACCCGAGTGTGAATTCTCACCCCACACATTTGGGAAAGCAGAGGAGAGGTGAGGAGATGAAGGAAGGAGAAGTAAGGAGATAGTACCATTAACTTCACTCCCGGTCTTGTACTTGGCCAGTTGTGGACTAAGATGAGAGCAAATGCTTTTTTCTTTTCTTTTCTTTCTTTTTTGGTTTTTCGAGTCAGGGTTTCTCTGTGTAGCTTTGCGCCTTTCCTGGAACTCACTTTGGAGACCAGGCTGGCCTCGAACTCACAGATATCCTCCTGGTTCTGCCTCCTGAGTGCTGGGATTAAAGGTGTGTGCCACCACCACCCGGCTATTTTTTTTTTTTTCATACTGACTAAACAATAGGACTTCTTGTAAATTAATACAACTTACTGTGCTTAAAATTTAACCCATAGACCCATTCTTCAAAGATCTTTTCTCTCAACAGAAAAGCCTCTCCATGGAAGTGATTTTCAATTTTTTAAGAATTCCTTCCATCAGAAAACAAGAGGTATTTGTTTAGTTATTTATCTGGGGAAGTCATAAGTGTCAAGCAATCATATGCAATGATGTGTTTATTATTTGCTTATAAGTACAAAGTACTATTGACATGTGATCAGGACCTATAAAGAAAATGATCTCAAGGTTGGGTTTTACCTTCTCATCTTCCTTGTAGATTTTGGTCATGGTTATTGAATCATTGAAATGGAATTCATGCATCCTGAATACTTCACACACCAGAAAAGGCAGATGGGCTTCCAACTGTGACACGCTTTCTTTCACCTTGTCCCTGAGCCATTGTTCCCCATCTGTCACTTAGCTTTCTCTTGAGTTCACTTTGTTGCCTTGAGTCTGACGTAGGCCTCACAAAGAACTGATTGTTTTTGTAGATCTTTGAATTTTCCAACCTAAAACTGAGACACACACACACAGGCACGTGTGCATGTATGCATACTCTCTCTCTCTCTCACTTTCTCTCTCTCTCTCTCTCTTTCTCTCTCTCTCTCTCTCTCTCTCTCTCTCTCTCTCTCTCTCTCTCACACACACACACACACACATCTAATTTTATGGAGGCAACATCTCAGGGCATTTGTCAAATAATATACTTGGCACATTTTTCCAGGGATGCAATATTAATCCTGTCTGAATTCTATACCTGTACCTGTGTGTGTCCTGTCTCCATGCATGTGTATAACCATTAATCTTTGCAGAGCTGAAACTGCACATAGACAGACGTCAGAGAGTATCAACTTTGGATACTGTAGAACATTCTGTGATAAAATAATTTATAAATTTACTTTAATATTCAGAAAATTGTGACCTTTAAGGTTTAGAACAGAGAACATTTCAGAGTTTTTAGACTTTTTGAACAATAAAAGGTAATCCAAACAAACTGAAATGCCATGTTGAATTTAATCTCAAGCTGTGTGATCTATTTATCTTTAGTTGATGGTATGGGAAGAAAATGTCAGCCATTTCTGAGTAAATAATATTGGAAGTTTGGATCTGTCACTAGCATATTTTGATAGGTATTTAAATTTCTGAATATTGATTTATTAGTAGTTGTTTATCTGATTCCTGATCTAAGTGAAGAAGCTGAACAAACTGTACTATAGATCAATCTACACAGAGAAATGTAAGAAGAATTATAATTGAATGATGCAAGATCAAAATAGTTAAATAATCATGTCCATCCTAGAAAAGTCAGAAAAGGTTCCCCAAGAAACAAGGTGGAAATATTGGATACTTCTCCAAGACTAGGAAAGATATTAATTAGAATCAGAAAGAATGAAAAGCCAATATAGCTAGATTTCTTATTCTATAAATGAGCTTTTTGGGTGTTTTTTTTTTCTTTTTCTTTTTTCTGCTATTTTTAAATTTTCATTAGTATATATTAGTTATACATAATAATGAGTTTCATTTTATTTTGACATTTTTGTACATGTATATAGTGTATTTTGATCATATCCATTTTCCCTTCTTGCCCCCCCCACTCTTGCATATGTCTCCTTCCTTACTAGCCTTCAAATGTCATAACCTCCTTCTTTCCTTTCTTTTATATATTTTAATATACATGTGTCCCATTGCATTTATTACAGCTGCTTATAGCATCATAAATAAATATCATTCACACCTAACTAGAGGCTACAGTATGGAAAAAATGCCTCTATATCCCCCAACAACCATTAACTGCATTTCTATCCTCAGGGAAGGGTAGCCCCATTATCTCATTCTTCTTCATGACTTTTCTTTTTTTTATAATTTAATTTAATTTTACATATCAGCCACGGATTCCCTTGTTCTTCCCCCTAGCCCACCCCCCATTCCCATCTCCTCCAGGGCAAAGACTCCCCTGA